GAGACCTTAATAGAGATGAGAATTTAATGTTTTTGAAGCAATTACATTCCTCCATTTCATTCTACCCTTATTAGAAGCAACCTATCAGTGTTTTTTAAATTTAAGAATAATAACTACCTTTATAACCTGTACACTTGGCAACCATGTCTCAAAATTAAATGTATACAATGAAAAGGAAAACAGAGAAAATGTTGTACTAAAGCTTATACACCATGAACCAAACCCCGTCTTGAATATGGATCAAATTGTTTAGTACAATTTTGCCTGTCAATATATTTATTTCACAGCTATGCTTCTCAGCACTTTAAGTGCTAAAAACAAAACTCCCAAAAAAAAAAAAAAAAAAACCTTGAGACATTCATAAGAAATCTTTGTGGCAAAATAACTAACTTAAATGCAACATCAACTTTTGAAAGACTCTCAATGCTTGGACATATCATCCTGTAGAGCCATGATCTGCACCTATAACTTATTCATACATATAATGAATAAAAAATACCCAATCCCAATCTCAATCTCTTACTATTCTCAAATGGCAGAGAACAGAAGCTCAGAGTTCAGGTCTTGTTATCGACTCTTGCCCAGCTATTGGAAATGTGCTGCTTCTGCCTACTAGCTCAGTTTAGGGTTCTTTTGAATCCGTATGTCACATTGGGTTAGATGTTTGAAACCACCAAACTTGCAACTGGAATTCGACCCTGCAATCAAACGGATGCGCTAACGAGCGCTAGCAGTGCGTAAGCACGAAACGAGAGAGGTACGTAAACACGAAACGAGAGAAGTACGTAAGCACGAAACGAGCGAAGTACGTAAGCACGAAACGAGAGAAGTGCGTAATCTGGAGGTTGGTGCTGCGATTTTAACGATAATTTTTAAGGGTCCCATACCATTGGATGTGGCAAGGTCTTGTAATATCATTACTTATGTTCTCATTGTGTAGGATCCCATAAGAAAAATGGATCTTTATACTAGGGCACTTAAAAAGCACGATTACAATATAATCACTGTCATGCATATCATGTGTGCAGTCCGGAGACTTATGTAATGATATGTTTAGTGGGACCCACTCTACGATAGGGAAAAAGCCAAGGTTTTGGCTCAATTCAAGTACCGAAATACCCTTGTTTATAAGGCATGTGGGGCCCCGGCCCTCAGGTCCAAATTGTACATGTCAACCTGCAGTTATTACCTACGCAGGAGATTTGTGTGACTTTAAAACTTTTTGCTAATCTTTGGTTCGTCCTAAGAATAATTTCTATAAAAAACAGAAAGTGCTTAAAGCTTCCCATATCCAAATTCAGTCTTTATTTGAGGTAATTTTGAGTTCAAAATCAAATTGATGGGGGTACTTTTGAGCTGCATCAACTTCCTTTTTCTTTTTGAGATCTCAATTTAGCTTTCCTATACTTGATATTTAGCGTTTGATAAGCAGGATTTGAGAGTTTAAAGGGCTCAAGAACACACTTCCAAATGAACAATTTGGACCCACAAGGTGATGAGTTGTTTTTACTTAATTTAAATCCAAAAATTGTGTTTAGGATGGCAATAGTGGCTAATGCTTAGATACGTCCCAACGGGCTAGTGTTGTACAACCCGCCGGTTTAGACCGTCAATCTGAATGGGAATCGATCGGGACCGAACTGATTCTAGGATAGTATAAATCCAGATCCGGTTTCCCCTAAAACCCCATGATATCTGGTGATTATGAGGTGGATTCCAAAAATTTAAATGGACAAACCCAAGCGCTCCCTTTGACTCCAAGGAGCAAATTGACAGTAGGCTCCCACAAGAGTATAGTACACATGATGTTCATAAACAAAATTGCATAGTAGCTTTTATTTACCGCGAAACAAGTTATTGCAGGGGTAGAACACATGGTGCACATTTGCTTTAAGAGAAATCAAGATGTGCTCTCAATTTTTGCAGTGTGATTAGGAGTAATATGCTTGTAGGACACTGAAAATTTGGAGACAAGAAAAACCATTAGTAATAAAAGAAGCTGTTGATATGAGAATTGCAATCCTATGAAGTTGAAAACAAATACATAAAAAGAAGATAAGAGGAGAGGAGAGCAGTGGTATGGTGAGCGCAGCCGATTAACGCGATCAAGTTGAACTTTAATGGATGTTCGTTTAGGAACCGGGACCATGGGGGTTGGGGGCGTCATTAGAGAGCATAATGGTACAACTCTCCTATCTTTCTAGGGCTCCTTTCTCTCTCTGACGCCACGGTGGGGTCCTACTACATGAGATTAAACTATTATTGCCAACAAGCACGAACGAACAAGGTCATAACAGAAGAGGATTCTCTCAATACTATTAGATGGTGTTAACCCAAACAACCCCATGAAAATTATGTCCTATTTCATGGGAAATCAAGGACTTACATACAGCACAAGAGCTTGAATTCAGACAAGTTTTGAGGGAAGCAAATAAGGTGGACTTGCTTGCCCAACATGGACTATCGAAGCTTTATGCATAGCAATTTCCATTTATATTTCTTACTTGGATCCAATCTATGGGGCTCATGCAATTTTGTGAAATGCAAGACACTTAAGTAGAAAGATATAAACTAACATCCAGAAAAAACAAAAAAAACGCATAATGGATTAAGTGTCTGTGTGCACATGAATGAGAGAGAGAGAGAGAGAGAGAGAGAGAGAGGTATACGAATACATC